GAAATTAAGCAAGGCAAATAGGCAGCATTGCCAAAGCTGTCCTTTGGCATTGTGATTATTAACCTCTCTCCCACTGAATACTGACCTGAGCTCAGTGTCCTAGTGACTGTGTGCTGTTTCTTTTGGAGAGAATACTTAGGGGTCGATTTACTAAAGGCAAATAGACTGTGCACTTTGCAAAGTGCAGTTGCACTCTGTAAGAGTAGTTGCTTCAGAGCTAAATAAATGAGCAGAGGCTCTGCTGACTTCCATCATGCAATCATGTGCAAGCAAAAGTGCTTTTTTTAAATTTTCCCTGCACGTGATTGGGTATTCCTTGCAAAGTGAATCTTTATCTCATGTACAAAACTCTGGAACAATTGCACTTGCAGAGTGCAACTGCAATTTGTATGGTGCAAAGTCTATTTGCTTTTAGTAAATCAACCCCTTAGTGTTCTCCCTGACTGTGAGAGCTTTTAAAATTGACTCAGCTCGGTCATCTGGACTTTTTCCTTCATAGAGGCAGTTCAGGGAGGTTTAGTAAAGTGAAGTGTCCTACTGGGAATATTCTGTGAATCTGAAGTATCCCATAATGCCACTCAACATCCCAAACAAGTTTTTCAGCAATAAAAATCCTAAAAAGACATCACCTCGACTGATTACTGAGCCAAGAGTGAATAAACTGTTGCTGTTGGCTTCCTCTGCACTAGTTTTGGGAAAGAGATAGTTACATTACAGTGGCTGCTTTGGGGGGTAGCGCTACATTAGTATATGTTCTGGAGCTAACTATACCTTATGCAAGTTCTTCCTAGTAGATCACCTTAAAAAAATGTATTAAGTAGTAGACTTAGCAGCAGGGAAGATGCAATAATGAAAAAAGCACATATGCAATAGTCACGTAAAGTCAATTATACAGCATGCATCAAAAGACAGCAGACATTCTGACCAAATACTCTGTAGTTTGAATACGGAGTGCAAACTTTTGTTGTTGTTTTTTCAAACACTTTGGGTGAAAGGTGTTGAGTTCCTAAATCCAGCTGTGCTCACCTTGCAACAATCTATGAGAAAGACTTCTGCTCTTTTCTGGGCATACTCTTTCAATGAAAATAAACCGAAGCTATGATGCATTACGATTTGCTTCTGTGAAAAACTGGGTGAACACTAATTCTAGAAATCCCTTGGGTAATTTGGTCAACATACCCTAGTACACAAAAGTATTTAAGAAGGTTGATGTTTAATGTGCCACAATTATAATATTGTCTAATATCAAATTTCTGACCACTAAGAGAAAGGGGGGTTAAATGTATCAAAATGAGCTCTGTGCCCCCATGGGTAGATGTCCTTGAGTGATTAAAAGGAAGTGAGCCTATTGCCTGATCTAGGTTGACATTTGGAAAAATCTACATGAGCCAGTTAATTGTGCAAGACAGGGTCACAGAAGAGGCTGGGCAGTGCTTGTGCATAACAGAATAAGCAAATCAAGATCATTTGGAGAAATACTATTATATTTGAGCTTAAACCTGAGAAAAGAATCCCTATCATGTGCTATTGCCATATTCAGTGACTTCTAAGTTCTTTCTGGTGTAACCTTTATCTACAAATGCATTTTTCATTTCCTTTGCTCTCTTCTAAAATTATTCATTGGTGCAGACAATCTGCCTTACATGCTTGAACTGGCTGTAAGGTAACTCTCTTTTCAATGGGATTAAAGCTATTGGATGGGAGATAGTTATTTTTATCTGTAAGTTTGTGGAATAGATCACTTGATATCTTTCCATTCTGCAAATGAACTTCTACATCCAAAAAGTATATTTGTGTCATGTCCTCCGCACCCTGCCAAACTAAGAAAATGTCATCATTATATCTAAACCATAAAAGTACATGGCCTACGTATAAACGGTGATTGTACACATGACCCCTCTATACCATAAATAGATTGGCAAAACTTGGTGTCACTTTTGAACCAATTGCGGTGTCCTATAGCTGTAGATGGAGCTTTCCATCAAAAGTTATTAGCCACGAGGTTTGGTGCCTGTATCTTGCTATTGTTCCTGATGGATCTGCTGATTGGTGTGTTGTGTACACAGACCACTCCTTCTTTTCCTTTCCTTCCTTTTGTTTTCTATTAAAGACTAACCGCTATAGAAGTGGGCACTAAATGGTCTTATTTTTCAGATTGTCAGTTTGATTAGCTTTGTGCCCTTAGCAGTCACTGTCTTTATCTATACTCTCCAAGTGTAAACCCTATTTTCTTGGTAGTCTACTGCATCTCTTCTATATTTGTCCAATTTGCCTGCTAGGATATACTTTCTATAATTTTTCAAAGTTTTTTCCAATGTCGGAATATAGGAACTGTAGTCTGAGGATATAGAGAGTAATTCAATGCTTTGCTTACATGTGCATGCCAAGCTCTCAAAGTTAATGGCTTCTTGTATATCTTAGACTGTTAGATTCATTAAGTCAAGGTTTCGATTATAATCATTATTATTATAGTATTTTGAACCAGCCCATATGAAAGAGTTTGCTACATTGGTGAAGGCCTAATATTCAGTTGTAGATTAGGATACCTTTAGCACTAAGGTACTCAACAAGTGTATCGAGGTGTAACTGATATTGTATTATCTTCTTACTGATATCCTCAATTGCAATTTCAAAGAACTGATGTAAGTAGTAGAAATAGGATTGTCAGGTATACTGTATTTTGAAATAATGGACTCGGCCAGACTAAAGGCCAAAGTGTCAACTGGTCTGTTTATAGAGTTTAATTTTAGCAGGTTTAGTATGGAAATCTTTGGGTTAGTAAATGAAAGAAACATGTCACCTATTATCAAGCTTGTTGTAATCATTAGTGTCAGAGTTGGAGTCAAAATGTATAGCCAGCAACTTCCAACATCCAAAAGCAAATGAGTTTAGTAATGTAAATGGAGTTCAGATACAAAGCGCTTACGCGTTTCATCTGCAAAGCCTTAGTCATAGACATATGTGAAGGTTGAATCAAACATAAACACTAGGGTTTCTGAAGGCATTGGGGTTGCAAGGGAAACAAGAAACCACCCAACCAACTATTTGGATTGATTCCATTACTTAAATAGTAATGTTTAAGTGGCCACTTCACTAAATAAATACATTTCCCATGGTGATCACAACATATAATGCAATGAAGTAGAATAATATATCATAGCCAATCATATTATAAAGTGCATTCAAATTAAGTGCTGAGGCAAAAATATAGAGCATTCATGTGTACAAAGTTAAATAATCATAAATGATCACGGTTTCTTAAATCTCTTGGGAAATCTGTACTTTAATCCCAAGTCAGAAAGTCTAACACATCAGTTGGGGATCTCATTCTACCTGTTGGATTTTGAATGGCCTTCAATGTAGTAGGAACAGAGCCAGAAACTATGGTGCAGAATACTCACATGCTAAGTCTCCAAGAGATGTAGATGAAAGAAGTTAGCAATTCACCGGTCCCTAGACTCCACATGTATCTAGAAATGTGGATATGGGTTAGACAGAACCTCTTCAGACATAAGGTAAAGCAGTAGTATAAAAACAAATGCAACACTGTCCCTCATCAATAAAATTTCTTGAAGGAAAAATGTTTTCTTGCCAATAGCAGTCAGTCAGAAGGTCCAATTCACAAGCTTTACACAACGAGAAAGGTTCTTTCACATGGGCGCACATATATCCAAGCAGAGGGCTCTGTTTATCATTCCAGGAGGCACACGTGGTGCATGCAGTCAACCTGGTAAAATCAATGACAGGTGAATGGCCTCTGATCACTGCTTATACATCTGTGACTGATTCGCAGCTCAAAACGCAGTCTGTACAAGCAGGGGAATGCATGTGGAGATCTGTGCAGCCATCTGCTTGCCATTGATTTTTACCAGGCTAGCTGCCAGCACCACCTGTGCCTCCTAGGCAGATAAACCTGGCCTTGCTCAGGTGTTCTGATCGGTACACCCTTGTGGATGAGCTCTTAGGATTTATTTTTAGCCATGTGACTGTAATTTTCAAATCATATTGGACTCATATGAAAATAACTTTCATTGTTTTGGTAATTTATCTTTATGAATTGAAGCTATGTTCCTTATTTAAAGTGTATGTTGGGAAAAAAAAACTCAAAACATATTCAATACATCTCTCTATAACATCTGTCCACAACATGCACATTCCCCATGTTTTATCCCATTAAAATATCGCAAGCACATAAAGAATAATAACTAATCTGCCAGAAATCCAGTAGGCTCTTACATCCTTCTTTGCATAGCCAGCACTGTACCTCTGCTGCAATGAAATCTAAACCAGCATTGTAAGTCCGGGCTGCTGTACTACAGAACTCCACCTACCCCCACCCTCCATATTCATAAATGGATTTCTTCTCCAGCAAGCAATGCTGCTGACTTGACTAACTAAAGCCTGCCTACACATTAAGTGTAGGGAATGGGCTCTTGGAAGATGTAGTTCTGGGGTGTTCCTATGTTAGTAGCAATTGGGCTCTCAGCAGCTGCCTCTGCAAGAATTTTACAATCCAGGTAATGAAGTTATTGGGATTAATGGAAGCTTGTTGCTCTAATAGGAGGAATAGTTTTCTGGTTGGTAATCATGGCAACAGAAATATTTTTTTCCTCAGAACAGTTTAGTCATAAAACCCGTTAGGTAAATTATATATATAGTACTAATCAACAGGAAAATTAAAAAAAAAAAACTGTGATTTCAGTTGTTAAAAGGAGTTTAAGACCTCATGCATACTAGGGGTTTGAATTTCTTTTCTTGAACGCCTTTTAGTACTTTGAAAGACCTTAAAAGTGTTACTAAACCCAGGACCCTGCATTCACCATATCTGGTCTCCCACAGTACACAGAACATGGAAGTGCAATTATTTTAGTAAATATAAACTGCTAAATACCTTTTCCCATCAGAAGTTAGAGCAGTCTTGTTACTTCTATCAGTGTCCAGCCCTGCACTAGCTAAAGCTTGTAGGAGGAGTTTTCTTTTTGATCTAGGAGGATGAAAAACCCTTGACCTCTGTGTGACCAGTGCTGATTGGCCCTGTGCTGATCACATGCATCTTCCCAAGAAAAAAAAAAAAACCTCTCTAGCAATACACACCAAACTGAGCATGTGCAAATGTCTATGGTTCAGTCTGTCTTATCAGGCAATAACAGGTGGTCGCTTGAAAAAGGGGAGGAACAGAGAAGAAAGGATCAAACTGTCTTTTTACATGATACAGAGGATTAACACCTTAGGTTCCACAGTGAGTATAACAAGCATGATTTACTGCATATACAGACTGATTTGCATATACAGACTGATTTTACTGTTGTGGGTTTAGTAAAACTTTAGCAAATGTGCCTAAAGCAGTGTCTTGCATATGTATTTAGGTGTGTCAACCGTTTGATCATTTATGTATTCCATTGGCTTTGCTATTAATTTATTCTGGACATCGGAATGTCTGAATGCTCACAAGTTAAATGAGTATAATGTTTAAGCGCATTTAGATTTGTTTTGCATAAAAGCGGAACTTCATTCTCTCAATCAACATTGAATATTTTTAATCTTTATGCTACTAGAATTAGTAAATAGATAGGAAAATATATCATATTTATTTGTTTTAAACATTTTTAAAAACATTTTTTCAGTTATTTCCTGCTTTCCATTGCCTATGCAAATGATGCCACACATCCCAGGAGTCTTCAGGAGAGGAGGGAGGGTTCTCAGCTCAGCCGATGCCTGATCTAAGGGGAGATAGATTTCAGGAAGTAAATGCTACATAAATCATCTACCCTTACTCAAGATGGCCACGGCCAGAAATATGTTGACTTCAGGAAATGTCGGTTCCCTAGTACAGCTTCTGGGAGTGGCTAATAACTCTCTGTGCTGACCCTATATCTCTAATCCTGTCTTCATCTCCCTACATAACCTTTTATGTAGCTGCCAGGGAAGGAATGGAGAGAAATACTATAGAGTTTCACTTAAATGAGAGCTTTGAATTAGTGGGGCTGCTGACAACCCATCCAAAATGGCAAATGAGCAGTTAATTGTGCTCAGTACAAAACTAGTAACTTTTTATGTAATATTGTTAGGGGCATACAAATGAAATGTATGAAAAGGTCCAGGTGTATGTACATGGTTGCACTTAAGTGTTACTAAACCCAGGAGCCTGCATTCACAAGATCTGGTCTCCCACAGTACACACTACATGGAAATGCAATTATTTTAATAAATATAAACTGCTAAATACCTTTTCTCATCAGCAGTTAGAGCAGTCTTGTGACTTCTATCAGTGTTCAGCAGAGCACTGGTTAAAGCTTATAGGAGGAGTTTTTTTTTTGCTCTAGGAGGATGCAGGACCCCTGACCTATGTCTAGACAGTACTGAGTATGTGCAGAGTGTCTCCACATGATATGTCTTATCAGGAGATAAGTGGGAGACACTGGAAGAAGGGGAGGATCAGAGAAGTCAGGATCAAACAGCGTTTTTACACAATGCAGAGGATTAACCCCTTATGTTCCACTCACTTAGTGAGTATAACAAGCATGCTTTACTGCATATACAGACTGATTTCACTGTTGTGGGTTTAGTAACACTTTAACCATATTTTCCCGTATTATCATATGTTTCTCACAAGAATTTACTATTTGGAAGCTCTGGCTGTTGAAGTCAAAAGCTGGAATAGGCAAATAAAGATAATAAAGTCCTCATTTACAGGATGTTTCTTGCAGTGTCAAAAGATTGGAATTGAGCATGGCAATCGGATCCTCTAGGGATCCATTGAAATTTCTGGATTTACTGTATTATAAATGTGATGAGTATTACCAAGGCCTGGATTTTCTTTTAAGGAATAGGAAACAAAGATCTTGGGCTAACAGTGGCAACATAATCTCAATTTGGAAGACATGCAGGGATATATAACTGGATTATTTGCTTTATAAATACGGCAAATACAGTGGCTGAAGTGGAAAAACGGTGAATCATTGTCAAACTGATCATTTTTCATTATCCTACCACTCTATCCTTGTAGTGATCTTGAAAGTGTTATTACAATCCTAATAACACATATGGGACAGACTATATTAAAATGTTTTCTACTGTAGCAATTGCAAACTAGTTGTTGTTATTAAATCTGACGTGCTTTAATAATGAAAGCTGAATTAGGTTCTGCTATTCTTATCTCTTAACTTTTCTGATTACAATTTTTGTTTATGTGAACCATTAAATGTATTGGGAGCATGACCTCATAAATGCAATGAGGATGAAATACACAATAAGCAGCACAGTGGCTTAATGGTTAGCACTTCTGCCTGGCAGTACTAGGGTCATTGGTTCAAATCCCAGCCATGGCACCACCTGCCTGGAGTTTGCATGTTGTGCCTTGGTGGGTTTCCTCTGGCTACTCCAGTTTTCTCCCAAACTCCAAAGACATGCTGTTAAGTTAATTGGATCCTGTCTAAGTTGGCCCTAGTATGTGTATGTATGAAGGTAAGTTAGGGACCTTAGATTGTATGCCCCTTGAGGGTTAGGTACTAATGTGAATGTTCAAAATTTATATAAAGCGCTGCATAAAATGACAGCACTATATAAGTACCTTAAATAAATAAAAAAGATTTTTACTGTACATGGCTTAATAGCTGAAAATATTTTGTGGACAGTTCTTGGCTTTTCCACCGGATGGCAGTGTGGACATACTTTTTACAATGCCCAAGTCATATCTTTTGTAGGGAGATTGGGTAATCCAATCATTTAAATGGCTACTTTACATACAGTCAGGTAACAAAGAGACATAAAAAAATAATGGTCAGTAAGTAACATGCAGCAAGTTATCATAGCAAGCTATTTTGCTGCTACACTACAACCTAGAATATTTAAGTTATAAAAAAAGCTATGAGATGTTATAACCTGCAACATACTGGTCACTGGCTGAATATCAAATGGGCTGCATGCAGCAACCAGTCAATGCCTGCTCTAGGCTATGCATGTCATACTATCATTAAATATCCATTTTTATCACATAGCACATTCAGACTGTTAGCCACAGAAGTCAGCTTTGCCACCCACACATGCTGCAGATTAATCTGGTTCAGACCTTCTTTTGCCAAGAGCCCAATCTTCCGTGTGCATCTTTGTGTTGTTATACTTATCATGTTTCTATCCATTACCATAGGATCAATCAGGATTGTGAATGAATCACTGCATTTTCACCAATCATATTAACTTAGTCAAAGAGCCATATGCAAAATGTTTAATTAAAAGAAAGTACTGACAATGTGCAAAGTCCAGTAACCCGTAACTTCACATATACAGTAGGTGATAAGGAGTCAGCCCATTTCTGACTTCAGTGCAGTAAATGCAGAAACTTAACTCCCTCTATCAAGGCTGCTGCTCTGAGACCTTTATTGATGAAATTACAATATAAGTGGAAATTACTTTATACTCTGGCACATAGTCATATTTTATAATCACAGTGCAACTTACTGATATTGAAGTAATTAAAGCTGAACTTCATCCAAAAATAACAAGATAAAAATGATCAGCCCATTAAAAGACAAAACAAAGAATACAGCTTTTGGTGCAGTCACATTCAACCTAGAGATTTCCCCTGCAGTATATTTTTCTTCCACTAGATGTCATCATTCTGGTGGCCAGCATCATCCAACCCACTTCCAGGATGCCTAGGTTATCCTGGATCCGCCCCAACATGTGACTGGACAGTGAAAAGAGAAGCAACACAGTGATTAGCTTATCTCTATATCAAGCTGCTCTCTTTCTCATCCTATCAGCATGTTTCTTTTCAGCACATGAACTGATTCGCTCTTTGTACTCTCACACTTCAACCTTGCTGTATATAGCCCACAAGATGCTGATAGCAGGTCACATTCAGATACTTATACTACATACATTTAAAAATTCATGTAATGATTACTGCAGTTTGCACATTATTATAGTTATCATTTTTTGAGTCAACGGATCAAAAGAAAAACATACCTGTAATTGGTGACAATGTAAATGATATGTCAAAAAATACATCAACCATATCGTGTTGATAAATCAATGTAAGGAACGGATGAGGGTCCAGCAATAGTGAGAAGAGTAGTAGCATTTGGAATGCACAAAGTATTTAGTCAAACCAAGAAATACATAGCATACATCGTAAATAATCCCTGCGGGAGAGCCAGTAGGGTGAGAGAAAAAGAAAGAAGAGGAAAAAAAAAGAAAAAGGGGGGGGGGGGGGGATGGAGACAAGAAAGGATCAAAGGAAGAATGTCAAAAGTGCTCATACATGGGCTATGTATAGTTCTAATTTTTTAATCCTCAGAAGTGTTGATATTCAGCCAAATATACAGTAGAGTGCCTTATAGGCTTCTAGAGCCAGTTAAGAATAGCTCATTAAGACTGAATAATGTAATCTACACCAGTGTTTCTCAACCTTTTTTCAGTCAAGGCACCCTTTAAAATTATGGACAGTCTTGAGGCACCTTTTAAAATTATGGACAGTCTGGAGGCACCTCATTCTAAAATTCCATAATTTTAAAAGGGCACTGAATTGTAAAATGTGAAAAACTATGCTAAAGGTTTTATATAATGCAGCAATATCCACACACGTAGGACACCCAACATTAGAGGGGATTTATTCTTCCAAAGCAAATACACTTTTGCACGCTGGTACTGAGTAGTATTCCATTGATTCTCTTCTCCCTCAGTTTTTTTCTCCATCTCTTAGCTAATGTGACCCCAGCACTGATGGAGGGGGCAGGGGAGGGTCAAACTAGGATGCTATGCACACGACCAACATCCTCCTTATAAACTGATGATGTCATTGGTTGCCAGGATGCCGGTGGCTAGAAGTTCATAATGGCACACAATGAAAACCTGTGGATTTGTGTAACTAAAAGACAGACTTGTTCCAGCCGCTGGCTTGTATACAAATTTTTGGCAATTTTTTTTACATTTTGCCAAGGCACCCCTGAAGAAGCCTCAAGGCACCCCAGGATGCCTGGGCACCCTGGTTGAGAAAGGCTGATCTGCACAACACCACTGCTGAAAATGGTGTCAGAGTAACATTCACAAACAACCATGGTAGAGATCCTCTATAACTATGCATAGAATGCATGAAAGTACAAAAAAAAACCTTGAGCCTTTAGAACCCCTTTAAGTGGCATTTATAACTACAAAATATAGATAGATCGCTGTGCTTGACCTGATTAGCCAAATACATGAATGCTCACAAGAATAAGAACATGGTCTGCATGTTACATAGTTACATATAGTTACATGGTTATTAAGATTGAAAAAAAGACACTAGTACATCTAATTCAACCAACAAGCAAAGCTGAAAACCCCATATACACAATCCTATACCCACAGTTGAACCAGAGGAAGGTGAAAAAAACCCCAATAAAGCATGATCCAATTTGCTCCAGTGGGGGAAAAAATCCTTTCTGATTCCCCATGAGGCAATCGAATATTCCTTGGATCACCTACCCCTGGTGTTATTACTTCTAAATATTAATATCCAGTTATATTATGTACATTTAGGAATCCATACAGGCCTTTTTTAAATCAATCTACTGAGAAATGTCTGTCATTGAAGTCACTGCACCAGGTTTTGTTCAATGCAATCTCTAATCAGGCCACTAACTGGAGGGGTAAATAAATAGGCATAGTTATTCCAGTAATGCAAAGAAAAATGTCTATTTGAAGATGCAGAAATACATACAATACCTATATAAAGGGATCACATTTAAATTGTATGTGAAGGAATGTTTAAAACATTTTTGCACAGAGTGTGGAATGGTTAGACCAAGTTTTCCATTGCTGCCTGAGGAGATTAAAGTGACTCTAAAGTCACTTTTAAACAACAAACATTTCTATACTTACCAGCTCTGTGCAGTGGTTTTGCACAGAGCAGCCCAGATCCTGTTCTGTTCGGGTCCCAGCCAGTGCTCCTGGCTCCTCCCCCTCTATCACTGCCACCAGGGAAAACCGCTCGCCCTGGGGGCATCGCTGCATGTTTGTCCCCAAGCTACTTCTCTATGCATCCATAAGGCTGGCCTGGCCCCTTACTCTCTCCTCATTAGCTGTGAGCCAATTCAGGAGCCCCAATGGGTTCACGCTGCTGTCTCAGCCAATAAGGGAGCAGAATCCCCAGACAGCAGAGGCTGTCGAGAACGTTGTTGGATCAGAGGGGGCTCAAGTAAAGATTGGGAGGGAGGCTGGTGGGGCCGCTGCACATAGAAGGTTTTTTACTGTCATGCATAGAATATATGCAGGTAAAAAAACCTTGAGCCTTTAGAACCACTTTAATCACTTTTCATATGGCTTGTCATGTTTCACATGACTGTCATATTGACTGTCATATGCCTTTAAGTGTTTTCTATATTTTGTTTCTGCTCCTCCCTTTCCTCTGGTTTAGTTAGTGATGTATAGATAGTCCCCCCTTTTCCCCAGAAATGCGTTGCAGCTCTAGCCTCATTTCATGAAGCAGGTCACATTATGATCTTTTGACCTATCAGATGTACACTGTTGTAAGATTCTCTCCGTTTATGGAATAAACTTCACAAGATCTACAAGATATCATCTTGATCGAGTCAC